TGAACATCTTGTTAATGTGAAGCAACTGAAGCTTCAGCTAAAAGCAGCAGACGGAGCAAGGAAGGAAAAAACAAAAAACAAAAAGCCGTCTAGGTCACAAACTCTCATAGCACAGTCATCTTTAATGACTTTTACGAGAGCTGGACAATTCCACGTCCGTCACTAGGACCGACCCAGACATTACCACACAGAAATCAGATTATAAACTCTCTTCCTTGTTGTCTACATGGAGAAGAGCAGCAATGGAGTCAATGTAAAGGGTACAACCCGCAAAATTAGACCTACTTAAGAATGTAAGGAGGCATATGGGTCAAAAAGAACTATAAAAAAAATTAATGCAAAGTAATAATTTTGGTTTTTATGTTTTGTTTTTTTTAACCACACCATTTGTTTATGTGCTGGTTTACTGCATCAACTTCTGCTTGTGTTCAAAAGCAGAGAGCAAAATCTGAAGTTTGTCCTCCAGATTTTAAGACTACGATATTTTGACTCCAATCATTTCATCCATTGCATTTTTAATAGAAGGACTTTGATAAAGTTTAACAACTGTAGCAGGATTTTCATGGGATGCCGAGAGAAATGTGTTGTTTTTCTGTACTTGTTTTTGCGAATGATGAACATTTTTAACAAGTAAAGAACCACAACTGTGTTTCAGGCTAACCTGAAGGTCAGCAGTGGCTGCAGTCTGAAATGTGTTCATTTCAGCAGAGATTTTCATTATGATTATGACAGATGTGTCAACAATTCCAAGACCAATCCTTTGTTTGCAGTATACATGGCTGCAGTGCCGTCTGGCTGGACCTTGTCGGCTGCTTAAGGGTCAGGACAGAACCAGCAGGTCAAAGGAACAGAGAACCGCATCACATTCCCACATCTATATACAAATATATCAACATTTTCTTAATGTATAGAAAAAATACAAATAGTATTACACTCTGAATTTACTCAGTTTTTCCAGCCTGTGTAGAATTTATTTGGTTTTTATTACCTCACCCTGTGACATATGAGCTTCCAGCAGACCTTTTTACATCGTCTGTCTTTAGGTCTTATGCGTCACCCTGATGAGTCCATAAATGTAATAATATATATTAAGATTTAAGACTGAAATTAATGACTTCTGTGTTTGCACATTGTTACGATAGTATTTGGATTTCCAAACGTGACATTAGGAGTTTGGGAATATGTCAGGTTTATTTGGAGAAGACATGTCAGAAGTATTTACAAGGAGTCCAACAACTCCTTGTAAATACTTCAAACCAACAAATGTATACCTGCCAAATTTCTGCAGGAAATGACACAGTCCTCCTCCTAGTGTTTTTACAAGTTAAAATTTTGCTCCTTACTGGTTTAAATATCCCATCTGTACCTTCACTGTTCTGTTTGTGTCAGCAGTGGATTGTCTGAGATGGACTCACATTGAAACAGCATGTTCAGTGAGAACAACAGGGATTTAATGTCGACTTACTACAGTCCAGACCAAACAAGTGAACTTTCTTTCTACCATGATCTGTCCTGCTCAACATTACATGACTCACACCACATCACTGTTCTAGTGACATGATTTTGATTTACTCCTCTTATTTAAATCAGCCATCCTAATAAAGGGATCAGTGTAAGTGGCGCATAAATTGGACATAGTACAGTTAAATACCTATCGGCATAATTTTACTGTGCATTTTAACATTGTGTCTGTTTTTATGTTAATCTTTGTAAGGTGACCTTAAGTGTCAAGAAAGGCACCTACAAATAAAATGTATTACAATAGTATGCTAGAAGGATAAGTGAAGGAGATGAGAAAGAAGAAAAAAAGAGAAAAACATATTCAAAAGATTCGTCATCCAAAACCACCAGAAACGGTAGCTTCACCCTAAACACACACCCTGGAAAGGCAGACAGCGGAACATGTGACTGGGCCGACGCTGGGCTGTTTTTAATCGGAGGAGAGACGAGGAGTGAAACCAGAGAACAGAAAGCACAAGGAATGTTTCTGAACGCAGAACCTCAACGTTTGTGTGCAGGCGGCCTGGGAGAGGCGACAAAAAACACAAACTGGGAAAGAGGGAGCTGTAGAATGAGTGAAAGACCACAACAGTAGAGATGGTCTGGACTCACAGAGAACTGATCCTAATGGGAATTAAGGAAAACAGACAAGAACACCAGAAACCAAACAAAGTATCCAGCCTCACAGACGTCAACGGCCTAAAAGCACCAAAGTGCTTCACACACAGGTCCGCATGCTGATGTAGGCAAGTTACTGGACAGTAGCCACAGGTGACCTGGGGCAGTCTGACAGAGGAGAGGCTGCCATGCAGCGGCGCCACCTGTTGGGCTCTCTGACCCCCACCGGCCATTCGAATAAAAAAAATAATGCTACTCGTTCTTTCTGGGGTCCCCAACTAAAATAGCAAGAGGTTCACTACCTCCACCACCCAAACAATCTGGGATATAAACATTTTTTATCAGTCAAAACATATTTTCATATATTTTTTATTTTACATTTAATTAACAAGATATTTGCCTTTTTTTTAAACTAGTGATGAGTTATTCAGATGCCTATTAAATCATATTATGCCAAACAGAAGAGTGGAATCACATTTAAGCACCAACTTCATAAGAGGCAGACTGGCCTTAAACCCAGCAGGGGTCAAATTAACCGCATATTTTCCGTCCAACAGGTTATTTTTTTATTTATTTATTTTTTTTAAATGGAGAAGGAAATAAATCTGAAGGAATTTTAACAGATTGCACCACTTGGTGCAGATGCGCAGACATTTTCAGCTGTACACTCGGAGAACGTCACAGAGGTAAATCAATAAAAAATAAAAAATAATAAGAATACCAAATATCATCTCTGACCTGGACTCTTCATCCAAGTTGGACAGAAAGGCCTTTAATAGACCATTGCAAAGTGTTGTTTCAAGTCAAGCAACTAGTTGTAGCAATCGCTAAAGTACTCAGCATACTTTGATTAATTTTAATTTAAAATAACGTTTACAATGCAAATTAACTTTAGTTTTGACATATAATTAAGCAAATGCAGTTTAAATCGCACATTATTTAAAACAAGTACATCACAAATATATCTTTTGTCTTTATCAAGGCTGATGCTAATAATATACATATTAGGAGCTCCGTTACAGCTCATCTTCTGTCCTTTGATTGTCGTTATGTTGCCTTTGTGCTGGTAGGTAAACAAGAAATTGTCCCTTCAAAACAAAAGCATCACGACTCAATCAGGAGTTTAACCACAGGTAAAAGTAATTAAGGACAACATAGGCTGTATACCTTCTAAGTTATTAGTAAATCCTTTGCACATTGTCAAACATTTTGTAGTGGTGAAGGATCCTGTCCAACATGGAGGCCATGTTGGACGACGAGTCTCACCCACTTCATGACATGCTGGCTGGATACAGGAGCAGCTTCAGCCTGAGACTCGTCTTACCAAAGTGCAACACAGGAAATCATTTCTGCCCGTAGCCATCACACTGTACAATCCACAAGTCTTTTTGCTTGTTATTTTATTTATAGTCATACTTGAATTACACCGCTCATACATTTTTTTTTTGCTCCGTTTTTAAAAACCCAAAATAGTTATTTTTCTTCTCGTTTTACCAGTTTAAGAAATAATGCTCCAGGCAGATTCCCTTTTGTTAGTAAGCTGGCTATAACCCCAATCCTTTGTAGTTTTATTTCACAGATACAAAATTAAAGATGCAGTTTAAAAACTTCACATCTTTTACCAAATTCAACATTAGAAAATCCCAATGACCAGGTCATTGAGAACGTATGCATAAAATATAGCAGGAGCTTTAAATGTTCCCATTCCACCAATTCCAAACAAGTAAGCAAGCATCATGCATGTAGTTCTAGTGGACTAACTGTGTCACCACAAACCGTCTACAAACAGAGCTTTAACCGCGGTGGCAAAAATCAAACAGGAACTCTGTAAACAAAGTTCAGAACAAAACTGGTTTTCAGGAAAACATCAGAGGTGGATCCCAGAATAGGAAGATGGAATTTTCCAAATCCACAGAACAATAAACCAGAGTAAAGTAACAACACACCCACACAAAGTGGCAGAGAAATCCCTTATTCTACCGGGAAGAGAGGTAGACAAGTTCTATTATCATAATGCTGAATAAAAACAACAATGAGGAAACTTGCCTAACGTTGCAGATTGGACCAAAATACTACTTAGTAGAAATGGACAGAAGGAACAGTTGTAAACTGAGACACAGAGTAAAAACAACAAAAGCTGCACTGCTGGGACCATTCTGTGTGTGTGTGTGTGTGTGTGTGTGTGTATGCCAGCTTGGTGGCTGCTGACATTTTAGGAAAGACAGTGTGTAGGCGTGGGGTTGCACTGTGAAAAGGCCACATTATAGCAGAACTCCACAGTGACTGTGTGTGTGTGTGTAGTAGAAATAGTAAGAAGAGGTCAGGGTCCTGTTTCAAATTCTGAAAATCCTAAATAAGTTCTGGGGTAACTGACCAAACAGCCCATTTGGTCAGTTTATGGATGTTGACATCTTGCTAAACAGCTTAAGTCTAATTCCAAATTGATCTCATGCCATTTTTAAAAATACCTTCAAAAATTATATATATATAGCTTTACTACAAAACAAGTTTTCCTTTTTATTCCAAAACAATCTTAAGGGATGAAATTAGTTGCATTAAAGTTGAGCACACACTGCGTAAACGTGCACCTCTTACTTGGAAGTGGGCGACTGGTCGGCACGCGGCATCAGCGGCACACACACCGGAACACAACCTGAACAGAGTCTTCATCGCTCTTCACACTCACATTGCTCACTACTTTTGAAACATGCAGCTCCCAGAACCTGTCTGTGGTAACCCAGTTACCACAGACACACGCTCTACCCCTGCTGGAGCCCATGGTAAGCTCCTCAGGAGACCCTGTAGTGCAGGCCCAGCTGCGGGTCATCAGCTCGTCACAGAGCCAGCCTTCCTTCTGCACATGCTCAGATTGGGCTTCCTACCTTGTCGCTGTCTATGGTGTTCTGGGAGGTCCTGGAGGTGATGGAGATGGTATCTGGTTGGCTGCTGCCGTCTCCCTGACTGTCTCCATCTTCCCCTCCCTCCCTGAATGAGGCCGAACAAACATACGGCAGTGTGAGATGAGGCCATGATGTGTTTGTGTATTTACAAACAAAAACTATTCATCCTTTGGTTCTTGGTTGGGTGCAGGGTGCCCAGTTCATCAGCCCTTATCCACTTATGCCTCAAGTATCTGACAGTGGCTGCATTTTCATAACAACTGTGCCCAAAACAGTCAATATTACACTAATGTTGACAGAGGACAATTTCATAATTACAGTGTTTCCATTGCAGTTTTGGAAAATATACAAATTTTGATATGTCTGAAAAACCACCTCATCCTGCAGGAACAGTGCAAAAGCATTTTATCACAGCAAGACCTTTTCCAAAATTGGCATGCTTCCATCAAGAACATTTATTTTTTGCACTTTCAGTTTGCACAACTCTGTGGTGAATGGAAATGCAACTTGTGATGACCATCGCCACATTAAGTAGAAAAAGTAAAGTTCTGTGACGTCCAGCGTTGGGTGGAAGCATCATGTTCTGCTCCCTGTTGGTGTTTTGATACAGGAGGAGCAGGTTGACTTCACAACAGATGGCTTCAGAACAACAGACCGTTTGTGTAAACTTACTGAAGCAACATCTCAATATATCTTCAAAGAGCAACAAAGTCAACGCTTGGACTGATCTCAGTCACATCAAAAGGTGTGTGTGATCAAAGCAGGCCGAACCTGACCCAGTCCCACCGGTTCTGTCGGGAGGAATGGGCCAGAACTCCAGCAAACCGCTGTGAGAAGCTTTTGACTATTGACCAAAGTTAAGGAGTTTAACTTAGGAGTCGCTGCCCGCTGTGGAGCGTACAAGCATGTGACGCATTAACAAGGCTTCGTAATAACACGGACGCATACCGAGTTTTCATTTCAACTCTGTTGGACAGCACGGACTTCAAACTTTATAAAAGTGGTGTTTTTATAGTGGTTTTGTGGTTATTTACTTCAAAATAAAGCCAGAAATAAGATTGATAATTTCCACCTTATTTTGTGGGGTCTAAATGTACCACATTTCGAAACAACCAATGAAAATATGTTGACGGTCTGTTGCTAGGTAGAACGGAGACACGCGGAAAGAGAGACGAGAGGGGGGGGGGAGATTTGGATACGGCAAGAGACTAGGGCGCAGCGATGCTGTGGATTTTACTAGGTTTGTTAGAGTTCGTGGTGTGTGCAGTGTTAGTAGTAGTTTTGCTAGCTATCGCTACATGGCTTCATAGCGAGCGCTGACGCACTGAGAAGAGAGACTCCACGCCGAGATGGCCATTTAGACCTCGTCTTCAAAGGGTTAAAAAAGTCCTGCGTCTGCAAATATCTGGTTTCAACTGGACTCTTTTCAGAGAGAACTGAGCTTTTTCTTCAACCCTTCCACACGTTCCACAGGCTGTCTGAGCACAGCATGCTCTCATCCGACTGGTTAGACAGCCAGGTGACGTTAATCCAGTTTCTCACTAGGAAATGTTGCACCTCTGTTCTTTTTGGTCTCATTTGTACTTAAAACAATCTGTTGAATACAAAAACATGTACTCCTTGTCATTCAGGTGGAAATGAAGCTGCTGGCTGACCTCTTAGAGAAGTTCCTGGGCTTAGTCAGTGCAGGCGCTTTAGGCAGATGAAGAGGCTCCTTCAGCGCCCCCTTCAGGTGAGTCATTCTCTCTTGGATCACCTCACGGATGTTTTTTATCCATTCCTGTTTGGCTTCCATGCTGGATGCCTGGAGGAGACATGTTTTCTGTGTCAAACGGTGCATGATGATGCCTCAAAGCGTTACGGCGTTATAATGACTTTGACCTACTTTTAGCACAGTTTTGTTATCAGAAGACGGGGTTCTTCCTGCCCACAGGGCAAATTTACATGGGTCTCCCTCTATGTGCTCGGTCACCCCGAGCTCTGCCGTCTGCAGACAAGACAGAAACAAGAGAGGAGTGAATAAACCAATCAATCAACAGTGAAAGGGCGACCCCTTCAGGTCCAACATAAAACTGCACCCATTGCTCACCAGTAGTCTGTTCTTGTATTGGTACTTGGTTCTTCCTGCCGAGTCTTTGATCTCTTTGCTGAAGACCAATGAGAACTCGAACAGGAAGAGGTGTCGGTCCCGGCCCTTCCGGATCAGTGCGCGCGGGTCCCAAACCTGGAAGCTGTCCTGCAGGATCAGCTCACCCTGAACCTCCAGGTTCTCCTCAAAGCCTGCAGCAGAGGGAGAGCCTGACTGCCAGATCAAGTCAGCGACTGCGAGTCTGTTCAGTAGCAGAGCATAAGCAGCCTTACCGTCCAGCATGGCTAAGTGCATGGCGTCATTGGCTCTCTTAGGAACGCTGAGCATCACCTCCAAGCCGTCTTTGATCTCCCCTTTACCCTCTTCACAGCAAGACAGCAGCTCCTGCAGGAACAGGATGGTACGCACGAGCAGAAGAGGATTTCTGCTCCGTCAGTCTGCGTCAGCGGTGAATGTGTGAGGCTGTGCTGCAGCTGCTGCAGATACCTTTAACAGAAGTTGGTACTTTGTGATCCTCTGGACTGGTTTGATGAGGTAGGAGTTGAGTGTGTTTGCCAGCGCACGTCTCTGCTGAATGTCCTGTTTAGGCACACAGAGTACCATAAATAGTTTCAGAAAGCGGTTTTCCTTCACCCTGCTACGTCTGAATGGACTAAAGTTGGATCAGAGGCGCCGACAAATTTCAAGGTTTAACTCACATCAAAGAAGCTGCCAGCGTGCTCCAGGATGAGCTGACTGGAGTCGGGTTTGTTCTTGCAGTAGTCCACATAGATGTGGAACTTATCAGCCTTATCAGAGAAAATGGACAGTTTCAATAACGGGGCGAAGCTTCAAACCGAGACAAATACTGGAGGGAGACGTCGTCTCACCCAGGTGACGAAGCAGTGGCCCACATCCTCCGGCAGCTGCTCGTAGTTCACCAGCTCCTTCAGGAAAATACTGGAAGAGAACGAAGATCAGCCATTTCACACCGCTTGACACTGCAACACGTCAAAGATCTTCGGAAAAAAAAAACTGTGCTGTGTTTAAGCTCTGTAGTGTTGGACCTTCATGCAAAAGTTTGTTGACTGATCTGAGCTTAGATCTCTTTCTAAAGTCTAAATGGAGCAGAAAGGACAGAACAGTTCCCTCCAGGAACAACAGTTTCCGGATGTTGTGCAGAGGTATAAGAATCAGGCGGGTTCTTGAACTGTCTGTGAAATCAAACCTCAAAGGTTCATTGGAGGAGGAGGAGGAGGAGGAG